ACAACAATTCAGAAACTAATTTCAATTAAACACTGATATTCATTGAGATATTAAATGCCAATTACTTTTATTCCTACTTCAAATGCAAAATATGGTGTGCACTAATGAAAATAAAGTAATAGAAGTGTGACAAAATTTGAAAATGATAATTATGCTCTTTCCGAAGTACGAATCTCGAATCAAGTATAAAGTTGATAATATCAACGTTCTACGGTTACCTTTTACCTATCGTGCTGGAAAAAAGCATCGGCACCAGCATCGGTGAGCCTGAAAGTCGGTACACTCCGGAACAGTCATTCTATGGGATTTCATGAATCTATCTTGCCGGTTCGAGCCCTCTTGGGCCCTTTTTTCGGGTCGCGCGTTTACACAGGGGCTGCCACTCTTTACTAATCTCTCCTCGGTGCTAAAGAGTAGCAGTGCCTGTGTTAAAGCGCGGCCCGAAAAAAGGATACAGGAGGGCTCGAAAGGCAAGGTAGATTCATGAAATCCCACAGAATGACTACTATAATATAGTTGGCGCGGAATATTAACGTTCCTTAACCATTTTGGCGAAACTTCCGAAAAGCCTCGTTCTTCGAATTGGCTGAAACTTTGAAAATAGGTTCTTTTTTTATAAAAAAACATGATTGCGAGAAGGATTTTTGGCGACTCGAAAAAAATTTTTTTACCGTTTCAAAGTTATTTCCTATGTTACCAACACCGTATTGACTTATAATTTGTTTATTTCTTAATTTGTTGCGTATACATATTTGATGTCCTCGATTAATTGTAAGAATGGGTCTTTTCCACTTCTCTTCACTTCATAACGCCAAAGAAATTCGCACATGTGGTCAATTAAATTATCTTCTCTGATGCCACCTCTGCTTAGTCGAGCCCGCAATGCCCGCCATGACGACTCGATATTTTGAGTATATGCTCCGCTTTCTGGATCCACAAAATGTGTACTATGATTTACAGTTTTGTGGATATAACCATATTTATTTAGATTTATGTAACCCCGCCAACAATCCGTATGAATTTCTGTCCCTAAAGCTACGTGTTTCTTAATTAAAGTTAACAAAGTCGTCTCGTCGCGTTTGTTATCCGGGCATATCTCTACGCGATATTTCCGTCCTTCTCGTTCTATCATACCTGTCGAAAGTTTTTAACATGCAACAAAGAATAAAAATGAAGGTAAATACAATATTTATTTTCTATGTTGATTAAGTTGAAATACAATAACTATAAAAATAGTACCTAATACCCATACTCCTTCACGCAACCGTCCTCTTTCAAACTTTCTTCGTCCAATCTTACATTCGTCAATCTCGACTATAACAC